TTCAACTATTCTCTCTCGAAAGCAGTACTCAAAAGCAGACAGTCAGAAAGATAGAGTACTCAGAGAGGGATACTCCAAGACAGGAGAAAGTTAACTTTCCCGAACAGATAGAGAGAGCCAAAAAGGAAAAAGGAAAATGAAGGAGGAGCTTCCAGGGGAAAGAAACATTCGTGTTCTATGTCACAAACTCTATCAGCAGAGTATAAAAAAATAGGCCAGGGGCAGTGGCTCATGCCCGTAATCCCAGCACTTTCAGAGGCCGAGGCGGGTAAACCAACTCTGAGGTCAAGAGTTCGAGACCAGCCTGGCCAACATAATGAAACCCTGTCTCTACTAAAAATACAAAATTAGCCAGGCATGGTGGCGCAAGCCTGTAATCCCAGCTACTCAGGAGGCTGAGGCAGGAGAATCACTTGAACCCAGGAGGCAGAGGTTGTAGTGAGCTGAGATTGTGTCATTGCACTCCAGCCTGAGCAACAAGAGCAAAACTCCGTCTCAAAAATAATAATAATAATAGTCATAATAATAGGCTGGGCACGGTGGCCCACACCTGGAATCCCAGCACTTTGGGAGGCTGAGGCAGGTGGATCACGAGGTCAAGAGTTCAAGACCACCCTGGCCAACATGGTGAGACCACATCTTTACTAAAAAAAAATGCAAAAAATGTTAGCCGGCATGGTAGCAGGCGCCTGTAATCACAGCTGCTCGGGAGGCTGAGGCAGAGAATTGCTTGAACCCGGGAGGCAGAGGTTGCAGTGAGCCAATATCGCACCACTGCACTCCAGCCTACGTGACAGAGTGAGACTCCATCTCGAAATAATAATAAAGCTGGCTTGGCTTGGTGGCGCACACCTGTAATCTCAGAACTTTGGGAGGCTGAGGCAGGAGGATTGCTTGAGGCCAGGAGTTCAAGACCAGGTTGAGCAACTTAGTGAGACACTGTCTCTACCAAAAATAAAAAATTAGTCAGGCATAGTCGTGTGCACCTGTAGTCCCAGCTGTTTGGGAGGCTGAGGCGGGAGGATCACTGGAGCCCAGGAGTTAGAACTTCGGTGAGCCATGATCATGCCACCGCACTCCAGCCTTGGCAATAAAGGGAAACTCTGTCTCTTTAAAAAAAAAAAAAAAGGCACTTGTCCAATATTTCCAAAAATAAACAAACAAAAGCACTAAACTGTGGCTGGACGAGGTGGCTCATGCCTGTAATCCCAGCACTTTGGGAGGCTGAGGCACGAGGATCGCTTGAGGTTCAAGACCAGCCTGGCCAACTGGCCAACATGGCGAAACCCTGTCTCTACTAAAAATACAAAAATTAGCCAGACGTGGTGGCAGGTGCCTGTAATCCCAGCTACTTGGAAGGCTGAGGCAGGAGAATCTCTTGAACCCAGGAGACAGAGGTTGCAGTGAGCTGAGATAGAGCCACTGCACTCCAGCCTGGGCAACAGAGCAAGACTCCATCTCAAAAAAAAATCCAAGCATGAAGTCATTTTGGATCGGGGTCCACCTTAATGACATCATTTAACTTGGTAATATCTGCAAATAAATTTCCAAATTAGGTCTCATTCACAGATACTAAGGGTTATAAAACTTTGACATATCTTTGAGGGAACACCAGGTAACTCTTAACAGCCATTACCTGGAGCACTGTCTCCATTGCAGAGTTGGTGCTGGGTTGGAGGAATGTCCCTGTTTCCACTCCATGGAGGGGAAAGGGCACAGAATAGCAGCCCGCACTTGGTGTTTGAAGGCCCTTGCCCAGAAATCCCATGCCTCATCACCATTCATTTTTCACTGGACAAACGGTACCCTCCATGGCGACACCTGGCTGCAATGAAGCCTGAGACAGGTCACCCTTAACTGGGCCACCATGCAAGCAGAATCAGCACCACTGTTATGAAAGCAAAAGAAAGCAAATTTTGGACCATGTTGGCTTCCCCTACACTTAGCATCTTACATAATAACCATGCCACGTTTGTCAGAACTATGAAATTAACATTAGTACAATACTATTAAATAGGCTTCATTCAATATCACTGTCTTTTTTGGACAGGTGCAGTGGCTCATGTCTGTAATCCCAACACTTTGGGAGGCCAAGGCAGGCAGATCACTTGAGGTCAGGAGTTTGAGACCAGCCTGGCCAACATGGTGAAACCCCATCTCTACTAAAAACACAAAAATTAGCTGGGCGTGGTGGCGTAAGCCTGTAATCACAGCTACTCAGGAGGCTGAGGCAGGAGAATTGCTTGAACCCGAGAGGTGGAGGTTTCAGTGAGCAGAGATCGCGCCATTGGACTCCAGCCTGGGTGACAGAGTGAGACTCCATCTTGGGAAAAAATAATAATAATAAATTTTTAAAAAATAAAAATAAGTCTCTTGCTCCCAAGAGGATAAATGATGGGCATGGTTTCAACATATTTTTCTAATAGCAGTAAGATGGAACATTTCAACACTTTCGCCTCTTTTTCCCATTGGCTATATATTTTTGTGTCACTTCCTGGAATTAAGAGCATATTGTGGGCCAGGCATGATGGCGCACGCCTGTAATCCCAGCTATTCGGGAGACTGAGGCAGCAGAATCACTTGAACCTGGGAGGAGGAGGTTGCAGTGAGCTGAGATCACACCACTACACTCCAGCCTGGGCAACAGAGTGACACTCGGTCTCAAAAAAAAAGGAAAGAAAAGAAAAGAGGAAAGGAAGGGAAGAAAAGGAAGGAAAGAAGAAAGGAAAGAAAGAAAGAGAAAGAGAGAAAAAGAAAGAAAGAAAGAAAGAAGAAAGAAAGAAAGAAAGAAAGAAAGAAAGAAAGAAAGAAAGAAAGAAAGAAAGAAAGAAAAGAAAAGAAAAGAAAGAAAGAGAAAGAGAGAGAGAGAAAGAAAGAAAGAGAAAGGAAGGGAGGAAAGGAGGGAGGAAGAAAGGAAGGAAGGAAAAGGAAGAAAGAGGAAGAAAGAAAGAAAAAGAAAGAAAGAAACAAAGAAAGACATTAAAATGAAGGCCATAGTTTAGATTCACCCACCAAGGCCAATCACCCATAACCACACAATCAAAGCTTGTCATCCTGATTCCCCTGAAATGCTAGCTCTAATCATAAACGAAACAGGAAAATGTAGGTTTTACATTCTTGTCAGCATGCTTCAGTGAAATTAAACCAATCGTCTATAAACAAATGAGCTTAAACAGCTCTATTTGCCTTAAGAGAACTTAATGTAGGCTGGCTGTAGTGGCTCACGCCTGTAATCCCAACACTTTGGGAAGCCAAGGCAGGCGGATTACCTGAGGTCAGGAGTTCAAAACCAGCCTTGACTAACATGGTGAAACCCCATCTCTATTAAAAAAAAAAAATTAATGTAAAACAGCCAATCGCAAAAAAAAGGCTCAAAATATTTCCTCCTTTATGCCTTATAAACTTGCCCTAACTGATGTAAGAGAACTTGTTATTACTTGAAGTCGTGAAGTTTCCCAGATCAAGACATGTACTTGCTGTATGACAAAGAACTTTTAAATTTTTTTCTAACTGTATCCAATTTTATATATATATATATATACATTTTTTTTTTTTTTTGAGACAGAGTCTTGCCCTATCACCCCAGCTGGAGTGTGGTGGCTGATCTCGGCTCACTGAAACCTCTGCCTCCTGGGTTCGAGTGATTCTTAAGCCTCAGCCTCCTGAGTATCTGGGATTACAGGCACCCGCCACCATGCCAGGCTAATTATTATATTTTAGGTAAAGACAGAGTATTACTATGTTGGCCGAGCTGGTCTCGAACTCCTGACCTCAGGTGATCCACCCACCTCAGCCTCCCAGAGTGCTGGGATTACAGGCATGAGCCACGGCACCTGGCCTGATTATACTTTGACACCAAAAGTATCGTGCGCAGGAAGACAGCTGGCACACACAGAAGCTTCATGCAAACAGAATAAAGCATCCTCTCTAAAAGACAAATTAGAAGAAGGTGCCCTATCTTTCAACTTGCAGAACACAGCCTAACCTGGACTTCAGCCCCATTCTCACGCTCTCAGCCAAGCACGCTTGTTCAGTTGACAACCTACACAACAGTACACAGTGGCCCTGACTATGTCTGTATGCAACAACAAAAACAACAGCCCGGGCGCGGTGGCTCATCCCTATAATCCCAGCACTTTGGGAGGCCAAGGCAGGCGGATCACAAGGTCAGAAGTTCGAGACCAGCCTGGCCAATATGGTGAAACCCGTCTCTACTAAAAATACAAAAATTAGCTGGGCTGGTGGTGGGCGCCTGTAGTCCCAGCTGCTCAAGAAGCCGAGGCAGGAGAATCGCTTGAACCCAGGAGGCAGAGGTTTGAATGAGCCGAGATCGCTCCACTGCGCTTCAGCCTGGGCGACAGAGCAAGACTTCTCAAAAAAAAAAAACATAAACAAAGCAAAAAAATAAAGTGAAGCGCAAAGAGGATCCGGTATCCAAATGTGTTTTATATAAAATGAATCGTTTTCAGTACACTGAGGAAGTTTTCTATTTAAAGAAATCCTGCTGTGAACTCTTGTGAAGAATGTTTTCCTAATGGAATTAGTCGCCAAGTGAGTCATTTCTGCAAACTTCAGGCTTGAGGTTTTGCCTAAGCAAGATCTGGCCGGAGAAGTGAGACAAATTATAGATACTGCTAATAAAATACAGAGTACTCAAAGGCAAAAGAGGAAAGGAAAAAAAAGGACACGTGTATGTGAACTGAATTGACACAGTGGTCTCCACCAGCGCCTAATCATGGACGAGATCCTCCTGTTTGTGCTTGTCCTTTGATCGACACACGCTTCAAGTCAGCTTCTGTCCTCTGTCCAAATGGGGAGGGAACGAACTAACAACAATTAAGAGAAGGTTGGCCCAGTGAAAGCAAGGTGCCATTAAAGAGCCAAATAAAGGCGTGGCCACGTTCTGGCCCCGCCCCTCCCCGGTCTCCCTGACAACCGCGCCGGCGTCTGGGCGGAGCTTCGGTCTCAGCCAGCCTCCCACAGGCCACTCCCACACATGCCGCGGGCTGAACCCCAACTCGGAGAGCCTTGCTCAGCGACGAATTAGGATCCGGGGGGCCCAGGACAGATAAGAAAACTTGTCTGGGTGCCCACTTGGTCCTGAGCGCTCTTGGGAGGGCTCTGGAAAAGACCATCGCCTTGCAGGGTAGCTCCCTCCCTCAAAGGTTCGAATCATGGTCCAGTTCTCTGGTCTCCCAGCCTCAATTTCTCCATTTGTAGGAAAGGGGTTCACAACCTCTATCTCAGAGGCGGCTTTGAGGATTCAGAGAACTCAGAAGAGGGTAGCTCTGTGGTGAGCGCTGGGTACAACTTCGGGGTGGGAGTGGTGGGGCAAAGGGTTGGTCCCCCCACAACAGCCCAAGGAGGTATTATTATGGTCCTTATTTTACAGGGAAGGAAACTGAGGTCCAGAAAAGTTATGACTCTCCCCAAGGGGCTTGCCTGGCAGGACATGAAGGGGAAGGGGCCTGCCGTGGGGTAACCCTCACTGGAGAATCCAGAGGTGGGAACCATCACACCTAGCTAAATTTTGTATTTTAGTAGAGGGGGGTTTCACCATGTTGGCCAGACTGGTCTTGAACTCCTGACCTCAAGTAATCCACCTGCCTCTTCCTCCCAAAGTGCTAGGATGACAGCTGTGAGCCACTGTGGCTGGCCTAAAAAAAATGCATACCTTTTGAAACAATACTTTTGCTAGAAAATTCTTAAGTCAACTTGGCATCTCCATCTTAGTCAAAGGGCCCATTAACTTCCTGTTCAAACTGAGCTCCTATTTTGATTTCTGGGTTTCTTTTTATTTATTTATTTATTTATTTTAAATTTATTTGAGATGGAGTTTTGCTCTTGTTGCCCAGAAGTGCAATGGGGCGATCTCGGCTCACCGCAACCTCCACCTCCTGGGTTCAAGCAATTCTCCTGCCTCAGCCTCCCAAGTAGCTGGGATTACAGGCATGTGCCACCTCGCCCAGGTAATTTTGTATTTTCGGTAGAGATGGGATTTCTCCATTTTGGTCAGGCTGATCTCGAACTTCTGACCTCAGGTGATCTGCCTGTCTCGGCCTCCCAAAGTGCTGAGATTACAGGCATGAGCCAGCACACCCAGCCCATTTCTGGATTTCTTAATCATGGCACTACTGGCATTCAGGGCCAGATCATTGTTCGTAGTAAAAAGGCTGTCATGTGCACTGTCAGAAATTGAGCAGCAAATCCAACCTCTACTCATTAGACACCAGGAACACTCCCTCCCAGTCCAAGTTGTCACAACCAAAAATGTCTCCAGACGTTGCCCCTGGAGGTTTCAAGATGGCTCCTGTTGAGAGACACTGGCCATGAGCCAAGAATTAAAAGAGATAAATCAGTTTGTTTTCACTAAACAGATTTGAATTCTTGATTTGATTTTATTTTGAGAGGCAGGATGTCACTTTGTCCCCTGGGTTGGAGTACAGTGGTGCAATCATGACTCACTGTAGCCTCCAATTCCTGAGCTCAAGGAATCCTCCCACCTCAGCCTCCCTCATAGCTGGGATTATAGGCATGCATCAACCTCACTTGGCTTATTTTTGTATTTTTTGTAGAGATGGGGTCTCACTATGTTGCCCAGGCTAGTCTCAAATTCTTGGCCTCAAGAGATCCTCTCACCTCAACCTTCCAAATTGTTGAGATTCCGGGTGTGAGCCATCATGCCTGGTCTTGAATTCTTTAACCATTTTCCTCTACCAGAAAGTATACACTGTATTAATTCTCTCACTGTAGAGATTCTTTTTATTTCGCGGCAGAGTCTCACTCTGTCACCCAGGCTGGAGTGCAGTGGCGCAATCTCGACTCACTGCAACCGCCGCCTCCCAGGTTCAAGCAATTCTCCTGCCTCAGCCTTCCAAGTACCTGGGATTACAGGACCGTGCCACCACGCCCAGCTAATTGTGTTTTTAGTAGAGACAGGGTTTCACCATGTTAGCCAGGATGGCCTCGATCTCCTGACCTCATGATCCACCGGCCTTGGCCTTCCAAAGTGCTGGGATTACAGGTGTGAACCACCGCACCCGATCTTTTTTTTTTTCCAAGACAGGTTCTCTATCACCCAGCCTGGAGTGCAGTGCTGCAATCATAGCTCACTGCAGCCTCACCCTCCTGGGCTCAAAGGGTCCTCTCACCTCAGCCTCATGAGTACTGGGATTACAGGTGTGCCCTACCATGCACAGCTAATTGGTTTTGGTTTTAGTTTTGGTTCTCTTTGTATAGCTGTGCTTTGTTGCCCAGGCTGGTCTCAAACTCCCTGGGGCTCAAGTAATCCTTCCACCTCAGCCTCCCAAAGTGCTGGGATAACAGGCATAAGCCTCTGCACCCGGCTGAGATTCTTAAAATAGCCACATTTTCTGGAAACTGCTTGACCTAGTTGGATTATATGGAACACACTGGATGATTGTAATCAGCAGTTTAACTGTGGATTACAGTTTAACAGTGGATCTAGCCCTGGCAAAGAATCAAGAGGCCTCAGTGGGGCGCGGTGGCTCACGCCTGTAATCCCAGCACTTTGGGAGGCCACGGTGGGCGGATCACCCGAAATCAGGAGTTCAAGACCAGCCTGACCAATATGGTGAAACCCCATCTCTACTGAAAATCAAAAAAATTAGCCAAGTGTGGTGGCACGCGCCTGTAATCCCAGCTACTCGGGAGGCTGAGGCAGGAGAATCGCTTGAACCCAGGAGGTGGAGGTTGCAGTGTGCCGAGATCGTGCCATTGCACTCCAGCCTGGGCAACAGAGCCTCCTGGACGACAGAGCGAGACTCTGCCTCAAAAATCAGGAGACTTGAGTCTGTCCCCAGTTCTGCCATTACAAGCTCTGTGACACTATCACTTAACTTTTTTTTTTTTTTTTTTTTTTTGAGACGGAGTTTCGCTCTCGTTACCCAGTCTGGAGTGCAATGGCGCGATCTTGGCTCACCGCAGCCTCTGCCTCCTGGGTTCAGGCAATTCTCCTGCCTCAGCCTCCTGAGTAGCTGGGATTACAGGCACGTGCCACCATGCCCAGCTAATTTTTTGTATTTTTAGTAGAGACGGGGTTTCACCATGTTGACCAGGATGGTCTCGATCTCTTGACCTTGTGATCCACCCTCCTCGGCCTCCCAAAGTGCTGGGATTACAGGCGTGAGCCACCGCGCCCAGCCCTATCACTTAATTTTTCCCTGGACTTGTTTTCCCCTCTGTCAAATGAGGATGTTGAGGTGATTTCTAAGGACTTGGAAACGCCCAGATTCAGTGGGCAAGGTGGCTCATGCCTATAATCCCAGCACTATGGGAGGCCAAGGTGGGCGGATCATGAGGTCAAGAGATCAAGACTATCCTGGCCAACATGCTGAAATCCCATCTCTACTAAAAACACAAAAAATTAGCTGGGCGTGGTGGTGCATGCCTGTAATACGAGCTACTCAGGAGACTGAGGCAGGAGAATCGCTTGAACCCAGAAGGAGGCTGCAGTGAGCCGAGATCACAACACTGCATCCAACCTGGCAACAGAGTGAGACTCCGTCTCAAAAAAAATAAAATAAAATAAATGCCCAGGTTCTGTAGGATGCTCCCTCCCCTCCCCAATCAGAAATGATCTAAGCCGCCCAGCTACCCCTCCCAATGCCCTGTCTTCTTTTTTGTTTCCCAGCTCCCCAGCCCGGTTCCCTAAACACATCTTTCAGTCAGCTCTTCCAAGCTGTTGTTACCACTCAGACAAACTCATGATTATTCCTGATTCTAACGAGTAAATTATGGTGGTATTTAACACAGCAGTGGAGCAGTGGCAGGGCTCCTTTGTGGGAAATTATTGTGTTTAAGCACAAGACACCCTGGGGTTTGCCTGCAGAAAAATTAAATTTAAAACTGGCCTCGGGCCAGATGAGGTGGCTCATGCCTGTAATCCTGGCATTTTGGGAGGCTGAGGTGGGTGGCTC